TTTTGATGGTAGGATTGCAAGTTGGTTTTGTTGGCTTGCAACGGTACCGTGAAATAAAATCATTTGCGGGGTGTTGTTACATTTCATGTACCGTGAAAGCATCATGTTTACATTATCATCTTGTTAAAGCATATGCTATCATTTCGTGTAGAACCCGAGAGTGAAACGATTCTAGTTGAACAAGTGCTGTAAGAATACCCGGTTGTCGCGGGATTTGGTAATTGTGGTACTGATCCGGAACCTGAGATCGCCAACGAAGGCAAGCCCCGGTTTATGCATTACACCATTACCTTGTTTACTTTGAAAAGTTTATCACTTATGTTACTTATCGCATTAAGTTGTTTATTCAAATGTTACCTACTTGATGCATTGCCTACCTTGTTAATTGTTTACCATCCTTGAAGATGATTTCATTTACAAAGGCATAGAATTGCTTAGTATGCTTTATGGTAGGCTTTTCAAAGTAAAAGTTTCGATATAATCAAAGATGACATACTGGCCAAAGAAAGAAAGAAGGAAGGTAGAATGAACTAGAGACTAGTTGGGTGGCTTATCTTGAATGTTGGGTAATGTTGCCGACTATGTCGCTTAAAGGCCACTCATTGTGGATCTTCTGAACGAGACACTTTGTAGTAGTAGTCATATACTCCGGTAAGCCTACTTCGGCTAATCCGATACTAAGACGAATGCCCACGCACTGGGAGTGGTGAGATGGCGGGAGTAGCGTGTACCCTCGTGGCTTGAATGTGGCCGGATTTGAGGTGTGCTGTGCTCTCGGGTGGCGTGGAGACGGCTTAGTACGGGAGGATCCGGTAGCGAGGTTGATATATGCAAGATTAAGTTCTACATATGTCGTGTGATAAGGAATCCCCAGCTGGGACTTGAATCAATTCGAATTGCCGGTGCTCCGCGGACATGGAGACTCGATTCATTACAGAAGCAATGTAGGATTGGTGAATTACTAAAACATGAGAAAAAGAATGGAATGAGAAGGATTGGCACATGGGATATGAACACTTAGTTGGAGATATTGAACTAAAATACTTAGTGGTAAAACTTGAAACTAGGATCAAGAATAGTAAGCTTTTGGCAAATAATTTTTGAATCTTTCTACATCCTTACCTTGACCCAACACCAGCATCTCTAAGACCTTCGCCCTTTTTGGTCGGGTCAGTCTTGTTGAGTACTTTTGTACTCAGGGTTTGTTAACCCTTGTTGCAGGGGTGACGCATGCGCAGGCTTGTTTTGGTCCCTGCTGCATGTCAGTGTATGAAGTCGATGACGATGAGGAATGATGAATGGCCTTTGGACAAGGCACTAGTTTGTGTGAAATAAATAATGTTAATGTAATATTATCTCGCTACTATGGTTGTATGACACTTATGGTTATGTAAGTTTGAAACAACTGGTTTGTAATATTAAACTTAAGTCTTCCGCTTTATTACCTCTGGTATGTATATTGAAAAATGTTGTAATCTGCAATGACTGTGATTGGAATCCTGTTTGAAACGTGGATGATTCGGGTTTCCCGAGGACACCCGACAGACCTGTTAAGTTGTTGGAAACTTGTGTACGCTATCTGAGGTCTGTTGAGACATCGATAGGTGCACGTGGGCCCGATTTCTTAGGAGGTTCTGCCACATTATGGCCAGCCGGCCGACAGTAGCGACGGGCAGCAAGGTTTCCTCACCACGTCCGGCAAACTGAGGCAATATAGCAATGAAAACGTGCTAATGTGCAGGGCAGATGAAGGTTGCATGTAGTGCGACGACGTGAAGTCGGCGCTCTGAGTAGCAAGATGCTATTGCTAATTTCAGTGACTAAGATTCATGGGATATCTGAGAGATTTGCACTTATAATTAAGTACCTAGGCAATGTCGTCGACGGTGACAAGGATCTCGTCGTCGTTCAGACCTAGCTCGGTGGTGCCTCTTCCTTCCCGGACGCCTCCCACCGGCAGTGAAGCGCCACGACGTACGGGCACCGTGTCTTCCTCCTCCCCTCCGCGAAGGGCGTGGGCGCAGGCGATCAGAAGGTTTCGAACGTCGATTGCCGCGACAGCGCTCCGGAAGGTTTCAAACATCGTTTTTTTCTTTTTCGATTCGGTGATGATTGGCTTCGAGCGTTGAATCGCGGTCACGGCGTGCGGCGTGCGAGGAGGGAGCGGGGGTGAGAAGCCTGGCATCCCACGTCCAATCGTGGCCATCGAATTTGGTTTAGGTATTTTATTAGCCCTTGATTTTAGTGGAGACGAATTTCTGTGTGTATTTTTCTGGGTGCACAATGGTTTAAGGCTTTCAGTGAGAGATGTTTTTCTTAGGAACCTAGTATAATTTTGATTGGTTTATTATAGTAGAGATTATTATGTATGCCTTTTTGTAAAGTCGAAATAATATACTACTACAACTTTGAGCTAGCTGGCCGACCAGATGCAAGCCTTGAGCCTTCTGGGTAGTAAGGAGTAGCTAGAATTTTGCGTCACGTGTGGTTTGCGCGTCGGAGTCCTGGGTGCACGTGTGCAGCAGCCCCTGCCGGGTGCCCTACTCCGAGCTGGCCCTGACTAATGAATGAATCTGACGATGAGAGAGCTTTTTTTTCTGCCGACTTCATCATGTCCAAATTGCACTCGTCTCTGCATCCACCATACCGTACCACCTGCTCAGCGTAGCAAAGAAATGTGCAACTCATGCTCTCGCGCTTTGTCTTGTGTACCTACCTACGTGCAGTGATGTTTTGGACGAGTACATCGCGGCGGTGCGACGCATGACATGCACGGTGCTGGAGCTGATGGCGCAAGGTCTGGGCCTGGACGCACAACTACAAAAACAATTTGTAGCAACGCCTTCCTTTCTTTATAGGGGCGGCTCTATATTGAGCCGTCTCTACAAATGGTTGCCAAATGAGCCGCCCTTACACATGGATTTGTAGGAGCGGCCGGTGTTATCAGCCGTTCCTACAAATGGCCCGATTTATAGGGTCGACTCTATATCCAGCCGCTCCTATAAATCGGATTTGTAGGAGCGGCTCAATATTGAAGCGCCTCTGTAAATAGACGCCGAGTATTAAAATTAAGTACTAAAATTCAAATTTTGTAAACGACCTCGGATGGAGAAACAACCAAAATGAAAGATGTAGATCTCGAAAAATTATGAAACTTTGTAGTTGACAACTTTTTGATTTGAAATCATCTTGTCAAGGAAAACTACGTTTGAATTTCAAAAATTTGAAATTTGAATTTTTTAAACGACCTCGGATAGACAAACAGTAAAAATAAAAGTTGTAGATCTTGAAAAGTTATGAAACTTTGTAGTTGATAACTTTCTTATTTGAAATCATTTTGTCATGGAAAACTAGGTTCGAATTTCTTAAATTTGAAATTCAAATTTGATAAGTGACCTCGGACGGAGAAACTACCAAAATAAAAGTTGTAGATCTTGAAAAGTTATAAAACTTTGTAGTTGATAACTTTTTAATTTGAATTAGTTTAGGGCCTCAAATAATCAATTTATGCTCAGTTTTGTATAATATGTGGGGGAACAAAAATGAAATGTAGACATAAGTGATAATGATGTGCAGTGGTACAGGAGTTTACACGCGAGCGAGAGGTCGCGGGTTCGAAACCCGATTGACGCAAAGTGTGCAAAAATCATGAAAAAATGCTGCAACGGTAGAGTGAGGGTGTGTGTGGCCGTCGGTGGGGACCTCCTTGAATTAAAAAAAATTTGCTATTTTTTCTCCTTTTTCATGATTTCTAAAAATTGATTTATAGAGACGACTCAATATCCAGCTGCCTCTATAAATCAGCGATTTGGAGCCACCCCTTCGTAGGGCGGCTGGCAAAACCACGCAGAAGGTTACCAGCCGCCTAAAAAACCGTTTTCTACGTAGCGACGACGAGGGCGTGTTCAGCAGGCTGGTGCTGGACCGGGACAGCAACTCGATGCTGAGGGTGAACCACCTTTTGGATGTGTAGTGTAGAACGAAATGTTCGTGTGGCGTATAGTTTTCTGTCCATATACAAATTAAAGGCGGCTGGTATGGTATTGGTCAGTTCGTCGCTTTTATTTGTAGAGAGAATGATGGAACGTGATGCATGCCTCTCGGCGTATATAGAAAGGCCGCGGAAAATCCCTGGTGCGACTTACAATCTCATCTACATCTTTCTTGCTCATAAAGGAACAAACAACACGTCAACTCTTTGTTACTCCTGTAATAGAAGGCGATCCATCTAAATCGTGCGAGGTTGGCTGACACAACAACCTGTTATGTTACAAGAATATCTCAACTATCTTAACAGCCCCGACAATCGCAGAGCCGGATGATCAAAAAAAAAAAAAACAATCGCAGAGCCAGTAGCAAGTTGAAATTGCCCCGAAAAACTCCAACTACAGAGAAGACAAGGCGCCCATTTGAATTTCATGTGTCGTAAAGAAAGACGGGCCTAATCCATCTTATAAGGTCCAAAAACAGAAATGGCGGTTAAAACTTGCTAAGTTTAAGTTCAACTAGATGGGCCTAAATCAACTAATAACCCTAAGTCCCTAGTCTGAGATGAGACTCAACTCGACATTTATGGTGATTTTTTCGGAATTTTTGGATCATGTTTGAATGAACTTCGATCAAGTTTGAATTCCTTCCACTTCAGCCTAAGAGCATCTCAAGAGCTCTGGAAAATTCACTTACTAAACTAATGAATTTATCAAGTTAACAAAATAAGTAGGAAACTCATTTTTTCTCTATTCAATTCAAGTGTCATATAGTAGTTTCCTAAAACAAAAGGCTCGTCATCTTCATCAGTTTGCACGCTACCTCATCCCTACGACCAAGCGTGACAGAGCCACCCACTGTCAGTCTTAATTAGTCGGCCGAACAAGAACAAGGCCTCCAACCAACCACAGCCAAGGCCACCCAGCCGCCGGTCAAGGTCAGCCATTTGCTAGGGGCTTAGGTGCGGCCATGGTCGGCCTGGCGCAACCAGGGCAGGTTGGAGTGTTGTGAAACTATGCTAGTACATCAACAGCCGCCCTTCTACAGATGATTTCATCCGTCCGTACGGATCTGTACGGCATCCGTACAAGCAGTTAGGATTATAGATTAGATTAGTAGTTAACTGTGTCACCGAAGAGGCATGTCTCTTGGTGATGAGATGTAACTTCTTCCATCGGTTGTGTCCTTTGACATATCCCTTCCCTTCACATGTATATATTCTACGAGATCAATTGTTCATTTACATTCACATTCAAGGCGTTATCAGTCACTTTCGCTCCTCTGGACAGAGAGAAAGAGAACTCAGAGGCAACAAATGCCTCTGAACCAACACCGGTAAGCATCATGGCCAGAATTGACTTACCGTCTCACATCGCTCGTGGCTTGTTCTTCGCCCTTCGCCGCGTCGACGGAGTTCGCCGTGGCCCAATCCGCCACCACGGCCACCATGGACAACGCCGCAGCGTCTTCGAGCACCTTGGGCCTCGTGTTCGCCGTAACATTGCCCATGGTCATGGCCATGGTCCTTTCGGCCGCCTCTTTGACTCCGCTGTTCCTGGCCTCCGTGCCGATACAGTTCCTCGCCGCCGATGGAGTCCAGTTCGTCGTGGCCGCCATGCTTCTCCGTGCGATCTCTGTCTGCAGAGGCAGCCACCGTCTCCTCGCCTTGGCATGGACGGTGCCGGCCCCATCAACGTAGCACCGTGGACCGTGGAAGCCCCGGCGCCACCCACTGTCGAAGTCCCAACGCCGCCCGTTGATGGAGTGATCGCCGAGCCCATACCTGCATACGTCCCCATGGAGCCGATGTCGCCAGCACCGGCACCGTCTCGCTACTAGTGCAACTTCTGCAAGGAGTACATGCTGATGCTGATGCTGATGCCGCACATGCTGGAGTACAACTACTCATTGCCATCGCCCACGCCGGTCCCGGAGACTCAAGTGGCGGCTGGCACAAGCATCCCCGGTGACGCCCTCGATCCATAGTACTTCAACACCGTCGCCACGCCGATGCTTCAGGATGTGAAGGCCGGGGACGAGATGGACGTCGCTGCCCCCGGCATTGGCAACCTCTTAAATCTCGGCGGCACGCTCACAGCCAGGTTCGGCATCCCGCCGTACATCTTCCTGGACGTGGCCGGCCCCTCGGTTCCTCCTCCAGCGGTGACCCCACCATCGGCTCCTCCTCCGCCCGCGACACGTGCGGAGGCTGCGGGCCGCATGAAGGTGTTTACACCAAAATTTGGGAGAAGAACGCAGGAACTCGAAGCCTCCAAGAGTGTGTCAATCAAGGAATCGATTGCATAACAATCGATATTAGCTAATTCAGATGCGGTACTAGAATCGGCTCTCTTTAGATGACGCCAGCAGATAACGACAAAAGCTACGGTTGGCGTCTGGAAAAACATGTCGGAATCTACAAAAAGGGAAAGATTAGGGTCCAAGTTATCTTAAATTAGGAATGCTTTATCTTATGCCAAAGATTGTAATGAGTCGTACTTAAGTAGGATTCATGCTTAGGTTCTCGGTATAAATATTAGACCCCGGCTATTATAAAGGACATCTAATCAACCAATACAAGTTACTTTCTTTTTCGGCTCCATGCCAACTCTTAGGAGTAGGAGCAGAGTAGATTCCGGCGAGTTCTTCAACAAGCAGGGCTGCATTGGTCCGGCCGACCTCCGGCTTGTCTGTAAGTACCGTCATGGCTTATAGTTCTGTTTGTACGGCTGCATCGGTTAAGTTCGACCTCCATTGCGAACTCTAGTATAAGCTAGTTATCGATCTTATCTAGTTCAAGTACGGCTGCATCGATCCGGTCGACCTCCACTACTCGAATTAGATTAAGGTCAAGTTATCGGCTCTACCTAAGGGTGGTGTCCTTCGGGTAGATTCATTAAGTTATCAATCTTGCTGATGTTCTTATTGTTATTAGTTTTTCAGCAACATCAAGCTGCCTGATCGAGATCGATGTAGATCGGCCACACATCCTTTTAATCCCTCGTTTATCTTGTTACATTACAATGGTTCTTACTTTAAATGACGGGTTACGTTTTATCGGCAGTTCTACTTCGATTTTGATTGTGCATAGTATACGGTCAAGGCATGTCTGATCTTGAGGAGGTTTACTAGCTAGTTGAATCTGGTCTATAGCCCACTATCATGGCTGCATCGATCCGGTCGACCCCACTGTTAGCACTCTAGATCGGAGGATGCTAGCTGGTAGGTTTGCTTTCGACCAGGCATGACCCTGGCTGTTTGCTATGCCTACACCGGCTAAATAGCCGATCGCCCGTATTTCAACGTTCATAGTGTGTTTTCATGATCCTATTAAATATGAGTAGATCCATTTTCTTTAAGGATAGAATCAATGTTATCTTCTAAAGCTGCAAATCCATTGCATTTTCCATAAAAAAAAGGTTGTAAGATTATTTATTCACGAGTAAAGTCTGATTTGCTCCATTGAACTTGTCGTTGAGTTTAAAAAGCCCCATCGAACTTGAATACTGGACAAACATATCCTTCTTAACTTTCAAAACCGGAGAAATTAAGTATTTCAAACATTTTCAGTTAGACAGTTCTAGATCTCGTCAAGCACTACAAATATTATATAGAGCGTGTCTCAATCAGAGGTTGCTTGAAAATTCAAATTGACAATCAAAGAACTTAAAAACAAAGATTTGATCCTCTAAACGATCTTAAACAGAAAAAATTATCAATCATAAAGTTATACATCACATTGAGATCTACAAATTTGGTATGGGCCATATTAATGTTCAAGGTTGTTTGGAAATTTCAGAAAATGTAAATTTCAAAATCTGAGAACTTACAATGAATTTTGGACCTATGAATGACCTCAGAATAAAAATGTTGTGCACTATAGTTTATAGTAGAGTTATAGATAACATCGAGGTCTACAACTTGATATAAACCATGTTAACATTGAAGGTAGTTTGAAACTTAATATAAATATTTTGACATCTTAATTATCTTACATAAAAAAGTTATCAACTATAAATTTGTAAATCACATAAGTTATAGATCACGTTGAGCTTTACAATTTTAATACAAATCTGCTATTCATCTAACTTGATATGAAATATGAGTTTTTTATGTAATAGAAAGAAGATGCCCCTAACATGTGGGCTCCATCGCTAAAGTCAACAAAAGCAACCAAGAAGCTACTTAAATTGTTAAGGTAGTAATTTTTCCCTTTGAAAAGTTAACATGTGTATTATTTTTTAGAGTGTAATTTAGATTTAACTTTTATTCATTCGTATGATATTTCTATCAACAACTTTTCACCCGCAGTGGCGGATCCAGAAATAGATCACGAGGGGGCTAAGTAATATAAGGTTAAAAATTGTTACTAGCCATGCACTAATATATATAAAAATATAAATGATGATATCGATTCTAACTTTTGACGATAAATGGTACGCCATACACTAATATATATTATGTCATTCATGTCAAAATAAAGATATCCCTGTTTAACTTTGCCTTATTAGCATGGCTACTGGGAGCTATCATATCAAACACAAAGTAAGACAAAGGAAATTTAAAGCAGCCAAGCAAGTACTTAGAATTAGTAAAACAGATCACCTGGCAAAATGGTGTCATGCAAATTCTCCATAAGGCAAAATGTAGGCATGGAGGGGCTGCAGCCCCACCAGACCCCCCAATCTGCCCCTATTCACCGGTAGTTTTGTATATGTGTAGCTTATTATTTCGTATTGATAAGTTCACAAAATTATGTTCAATCCTTCCAAAGGTTCGGGTTTTCAATAAAATTCAGTTTTTGTATAAAAGTAAGGGCAAAGTCTTTTTTTTTGCAATATCCAATTTGCAGGGAATCTGATTTTTCAACCTAAATTATGAAATCAATATGAAACAAGTTGACAAGGCTGCTGCGTTCTTTGCGCTCCCGCAGCGGGACAAGGACAAGGCCGTCGTAGGCACAGGCGGCGGAAGCCCGCCGTTCGGGTACGCCAGCAAGCGGATTGGCGGCAACGACGATCTTGGCTGTGTCGAGTACCTCCTGCTTGGCGTCACCGCCTGTGACAGAACCGTCCAATTTATACAAGATCAAGTACGGCTGTCCCTGTTTAACACGTTGACGCACACACACTTTCACTTATATAAATCCGGTAGTCCACCGAGTGTCACGAAGGACCTCGGTAAATGAACATCACAATCAAGATCGCATGATTAAGCAAATACACATCACATACACGGAGTTGCAGCGGAAATAATGTTTACAATGAGTTCACAAATAATAATACAAGTTTGGGTTTCAAAACCGATTAGTGAAAACAGCATAGCTTTCAAATGATTATAAAAATATAAGTTCCGAATACATTGCTAGCATAAGTGACATCCTCCAACAATAGCATATAGACAACGAATACATATAGAGTCACCGAGCCCACCGGCGGTTAGCCACCATCTTTAGCAGGCCGAGAATTTCACCTACAACATGGTGGGATAAACCCTGAGTACTCGAATGTACTCAGCTAAACTTATCCGTCATAAACCAAAAATAAAGTGACACCAAGGATCATGCAAGGCTATATAAGTAGAGCTATCTTCACAACATTTTGCAAGAAAAAGCCACTAATTTAGCTATACCTTTTATAATTCGGTCATCAAGTTAATTATAGCTATTCATCTCTAGATTAGCAACTAACATGTGCCAAACATGTGGTATATCATTTAGTAGCATAACAATAGTAACCATAGTAGGTGTAATATTTCCATATTCATCATAACCATCACATTCCATAGTCCAATTTCTACGATGAAGAAGCTCCGTCAAGTTTCTCACTATCAGGGAGAGATGACGATTCAAATCGATTTCAATTAGCTGGGAATTTATTCCTAACACAAACCCAAACATACCTACGCCAAGGTAGTCTTAGGTCACCTTTGGTACAACTTAGGTCCAATTCACGGGTTCGATCAGCGCCGCACAATCAGGGACACTACCGGATGCCAGGCCGATCAGGACTCTAACCTGCCCTTGGCCTCACACCGGCTCCCCGCACATCCTTACTACCTCTAGTGTGCGCACTCTAACAGAATGAGGCCCAGCCTGAGTTAAGCTACTCGGCTTTGTGGTCAAAACGAGTTATTCGAACTGCTAAGTGAGAGGCATGCATTCAAAATGACAAGAGGGCCTACAACGATGCGGTCCTAAATCGGCATAGACGGAATCACATGAGTCAACCTACACATAGACTCCGTCCAGCCTCTAGTTACATTATCCCATGGTTCTTTTCCATGATAGCAAATATAGCCAACCATGCTCTGGTATCCACCTATATCTCGCAGTTGACAGGAAATCACCCGACTTCTACCGAACTAAGCATGGCTAAGCATATACTCGATCCGGGACCTATACAGGGTTTAAGGTATATTTCTGGACAAGGAAGTTATATGCTTCAAGTGTTTCCAATCAACTCCTATAACCTAATGCATCAAACATAAAAAGACTCAAGTGATATTTATAAAACATAGGAGACTTAGAATGCTTCGGGGCTTGCCTGGGATCCAACACTAGGCTAGTGTTTGTTATGACACTCGCTTGGCGAGCATCTCCTGTTCAGGCATGTACT